ACTGTGCTAAAACCCTTTACCACGCGTATGATGACGGAAAAGCTATTAAAAACTTTCTTGCGACCCTCCATGGTACAAAATAAGTGACAGGTATGTCTTTTTGAAACCAGAACTGCTGATGTATATACTTCTAAATTGCACCTTAAGTTTTCCGTAGTACTAATTTCGATTAATAATTTTCGTGGACCTCTATTTACACCTCACGCACCCCCAATTTTCTTTTTCATTAACATGGACCCCAGGGGGTCGATATAGATTACTTTGAGAACCTCTGGGATAGGTCAAAAATATATTTATTATATATTATTCTGCCAAAGATATATAGATATAATTGTATGAAATTGATATTATTCATGCAATCATGCCGTGGAGATTTTGTAAGAGTTGTAAAATGAACATTGATTATTTAACAAAATATAATTCAAATGTAACTATATATTATATATTTAGATTCAGCTTGAAAATCTCCCAAAAAAATTTTGAACAGATGCCTTTATAAATTAAAAAAAATTATATGTTAATATTTCCTTACGTCATAGTCTAAACTTTGAATGATGAGGCCAGCAATCCCTGTATGATTTGCCATAAAAGTCTTTAAGCTATTCATTTCATCTAATGAGTTATTTCCTCCATTACTATCATTACAACTAAGCGCATTGGTCCATTCTGGTTGAGTACTGTAGCCATAGCATATATAAACAGGCTTACCAGTTAACAATAAAGCGTCTAATTTAGCTATATAAATTATAAAACACATAAATGCATGATATATTAAAATTCTTAATATTAAGTAGATAGTATATTTTATAATTTTATTATCTAGACTATAGCGCATCTCAACCTGTACTACCACAAGTGGTGTGCGGAAATAGCTCATAGGTGGTACGAGAAAAGAAAATCTCCCTTTATAAAAAAAAATTGGAATGAATCATTATTAACATTAAATATTATTTGGTTTATTTTGTGGTGTGCAGGTTGTTTGTAATCATAGTAATTAAGATAACGATAATCGCTTTAATATAATATAAATCGATACACTTCATTAGATATAATGCGTATTCTTATTTCACAGTGATGGGTTTTTATAGTTGTTTCTTGATTTCCTTCTGTTAATTCACGAGTGTCTAGCAAGTTATTTGCATCAAGTATATTTTATATTTTTATGAAGTTTTTTCGAAAACTTTTTTTGTGACATAAAATTGAATAAATGAAAATGTTTTGCAAAAGCGGAAGTAGAAATTGATTTTTTTACAAGCTAGTGGTATATAAATACACATTTTCAGATAAATATTTCAAATTTTTAACCCTCTCGGTTCAAGCATGCGTAATAAAACTTGCATTTTTTTAAATGGCAACCGGTGTTTTCGATATTCGATATCAAATTTGGATAGAATAAACTTTTTTCAAGTCATTTCGACCCATTAACCATGTCTCTAAAACCAAAATTGACTGAATAAGAGCCATTTAATTTTTAATAGGTTATATATTTTTACGAATTATTAAAATTCATAAGACCGTTTAATATTATTGGTTAATTTTTGAATATTTTTATAAACAAGAGTAACATAATATGGGTCTAAAATTATTCATTAAAAATCGATTACAATATCTATTATATCTAGAGATCTTGCTAGTCGTTCAATCGATTTTTAATAAATAATTGTTAACTCATATTATGTTAATCTTGTTCCCGTAAAAAATATTCAAAAGGTAACCAACAATAAATAAATATAAACTGTTTTATGAATTTTGATGATTAGTAAAAATGTATTATTTGTTAAAATTTAAATGGCTCTTATTCAGTCAATTTTGGTTTTAGAGTCATGAAAAAAATCGATTTATTCCAATATAATGCGGCCGAGAAATGCAGTATTCCCTAAATTGGTAAACACACTGTATACATTAATTTTAGTAATATTACCCAAATATTTTGCATTATTTTCGCTAGAGGAACTATCACCATAAATATGGTAATTTAAATCCACGGTTAGCCTAGAGAACATTAGAGATGAGCAATCATCTGGTAGTTGACTAATTGTGACACTTTCATTACAATCAGAGACAATATAATAACATCCCGATATTCCAGGCCCTGAAAACCAAAAAATAAACTTATAATTTATTGAGTTTTTTTTAAAAAACATGTTGAGTTTTCTTAAATAAAACCAAACATACAGAACAGCAGAAGATTAAAAAAGTAATTAGTGTTTACAACTTTATGTAAACATTTTATTTTATTTCATTTTATCAGTCACTCTATTTCTGAATCAGGTATGACACTGAAAAGTGCGTTTCTTGATAGCGTGTTTTGCTATGTTTTATGATACGGCAAAAACAGTAGGTTATGCACCTGATATGGATACCTACAGATAGATTTGCTTAACTACAAACACGTTATAAAATAATATAAATATAAGACACCTAAAACTAGATGCATTACACGACTTCGTCTGGGAAAAAATGAACAAATATAATCTATGCTTGGTTAATTCCGGTTTGAATGTAGGGCTTCAGTTCACGGACCAATTGGAAATGGTTTACCTTAACTAAAATGTTCGAACTGCACTCGACCCGAGCAATAACTTTACACATGACGTAATAAATTTGGGAAAACCCGTAAATAGGAATACTTACCCACATATTTCTATATTATTATTTTGAAATCATAACTTAATAGTATTTATTTAAATTTTAAATTTTTATTAATTTTGAAAAACAACTCAATTTACATTCTGGACGGAGTGACGAATGAATATCGATCTTACAATGTTGAGGATAAACAGGAATTTGTGTGTAAAACTTTCAGCATATTCAGCTAAATTGTTTTTGTTTTGTTTAGTGCAAAAACATAAAAAAAAAAAATTACTAAACACCTTCAATACATTTTAAAATTTCCTACACATGAATTCGTTTTCTAAATATTTTTTTGAGCTATTTATAGAATTTGAAAATTTCATTTTATTAGTTTGAGGATTCTAAACTTAAGTTTAGAAATTTATAATACCTTATATCCTCGTTAATTATCAATACGTAATTTAAATTACTTGATGTTAAGTTATTTATTTATTGTCCATAGTTATACTGTGCATAAATTGTATATTGAATTATAATTTATTGCATTGTTTTAAAATACGTTTAGAAATCAATAATTTAGCTTCGCCAGCAAAGTGAACTTTCCAAACTTGGTTTTCTATATATGTCAATAAAAAATATTCCCTGATTTAAAAAGTATGAACATTTAAAACAAGGCTCTTCATAAGGTGTTTTTAAAGGTAGCTAATATTAAAAAAATAATTTAAATACATACGCAAAATGTTGTTTTAAGAGCATTTGTAGTTGAAATGTTTCAAGTTATTTTTTCAAGAGTCGATTGATATTGAATATTAAATAGGTTATAAGTAAATAATAATCAAAATGACTGAAATTCAAACTGAATGTATCCTTTTTTTTTCGAGGAGAAAATATGTGCTATTCCGATTCGACCTTACCCGCGTAACTGCGTAAGGTCGAATCGGAATATGGGCATCAATCTGGCTGCGACGTATTGGAGTATACGTATTTGGTGTATTAACTATTTAGGTTGAATGTTATAGTATAACAACATGATCAAATTAGTTGCGAATTTTTGTATTGGTACCACAATTAAGGCAGGAGTCGCAGGACAATTTTTTTCATCGTCAGGCCACTTTTTCTTCACCTCAGTAAATATGTGTATTTTATGTAGGTACAAATGGATTGAAGGGTTATACATTTAATATATTGAAGAATTGAACAATTTGGAAAGTTCGAAATAGATAATCTATCATCTATGTATACCAATATGTATGTATACACCCATAAATAATAACTATAAACATTACTACCAATATCCCACATATTAAAATATTATATATTACATATTACATTATAGTACGTATTAGTTGTTTTTATTAACATTATGGTTTTTTTAAAAAATTATTTATGATTTGTGAATAAATAATTTGAAAGTATAATACAATAGTAGCAAATCAAACATATTTAAAACACTTTTCACTGTTATTTTTCATAAGTAAGCATTTGAAATCAAATTTTGACTAAAATCATAAAAATGTACACATTTTTTGTAGTTAAAAATTCATGAATTTTTCTTTCAACAACTAAAATGGCTTGAAATTGTAACACATGATATCTCATATTCTATTTTTTTCTACACACAAAAAAGTTTTAAAAATATCAAAATACATTTTAAACTAATTCTAAGCATATCATTCAAAAAGCCTGAAAACGAGATACAAAATATCCACACATAAAGTATCAAGTAAAACTACTAAAAAATTGAAATCCTACATTGGATACCAATTACCAATTATTTACGCATGAATAGAATAACGTATTATACTTACACAAACGTAAAACACGTTTGTAGACATTTAATTAATGTTTTTTTAAAATAATATATTTTAACAGGAAGCTCACCTTTTTGTTTTTGAGATTGTATGTGTATTGTCAATATAAGAATGTTAATAATTAAAAGTAAAGAATTGTAAAAGTACATTTTTATTAACTGTGTGTAATGTTATGCAGATTTAATACTTTATTCAGACATACTGTCGGCATTATTAATTATAATTTAATAACACACATAAAAGGTGCTTATTGTAAACTAATTTTTATCATATACTCGGATAATAATGTATTTTTAATTAATTAGCCTACATTTTATTGATATTAAATATTTATATTTCAGCTATTTGCACAACTAATATCAAGCATTCGAGCGAGCTTGTATACAATTGCGCACATAAACACATGTTTCAAATACAAACAGTTTTTGTGTTTCAATTTAAAGCTGACAGTTTATAAGCCGTATTGTTAGCAATTAATAACTAATAATTATAGAAAGGTTCAGGATTCAAAATACGACTGAAGCCTAAAACTATATAAATTATAAAAAAATCAAATTAACCAGTCACAAGTGGATTATTAAATGGATTTAATTGCAACTCAACTTTAATTATTATAAAATAATATAAACGTAGATAAAAATTTAATTTTCATACACAAAGAAATTTCCCTATAATGGTAAATACAACTTTGAGATAAAATAAAATGAATAACGAATGGGCGGCAATGTCAGTATTGAAATTACTGAAATACATTTTCTTTTAAAGTCAGAACTTGAAATATTATACGAAATTGAGAAAATAAAAATAAAGTATTGAACTTTATATGTTGAAAATGTACAAGGTGGCCAACCACGAGCCGAGACCTCTTGTGGTCGGAGCGGAGTGGATTTCCACAGCTCATAGACGGGAGAATTAATACTAAAATAATTAAATTCGTTACACGCTTTGAGGTAAAAAAAGTTCTTATATATAGGTATTATTTAAGTTTGCTCCAAGAAAGCATACAACTCGGACAAAAAGAAGTAAGAAAAACCAAATGTAATAAGTGGGTCTACCAATAATACACGTATACACATATAATTTATAAAAATAATGAATATACCTCCCATCGGCCACTCTGGCCGGTTACCGGGAGTACATAATGATGATAATAATAATAATAGCAATGCCGCAAAAATAAAAAAATATTGGGCACGATGCATTGAAAATAAATAATACAAAAGGGTACATTACCAATCGAGTTTAGAAAATAAAAAGTAAGGGGAAAACAGCAAGCAAATGAAAAAAAACATATTGAAAAAAAACGAAAACCAATCTTATAAAAATTATTATTAATTAATTTTTTTTTAATCAGTAGTTACATATTATTATTAATGTTATATAATATTATAATAAGCCATATGAAATAATATTACATTCCATTCATGTATAAGGTACAGTATCAACATTTTTGTATTACATTTCGATATTAAAATTACAAATAGTTTGTTAAAAAAATCAAATAAATGGTATAATATATCATGGAATGTAATTATGTAAAAGTATATGCGTGCAGGTACCTGTATAAATAAATTTATTTATTTAAAACGTATAATGTATACGATATAAGCTACAGCGTTTAAAACATTTTCTATAGAATTATCATCATTATTATAATGTCTTGTACCTAAGTACACAGTAAAAATAATTTTTCTTGCATATTTTCAAATATATGAAGGAGATACAACATTTTGTGTCCTAAGCGTTATTCATTGTGTGTACATCCATAATCATAGGATAAGAAGTAACTCCAACATTTTTATGTACATACCTTCTATGTTGTAGCTACTGAAATACATGAAGTAAAAGTGAGTAAGTCTATTCTAAGGTATGTATATGAAATAAGGATTTCGTAAACAAAGTTCCCTAGGTAAGTACTAAGTACTGAGAAATTATTTTAAAAGCAAGACGTCAACATCTAAAACTAAAATAGTGGAGTTACGAATATTGTTAGGGAAATATAAGTATTTATCACAACATCTGTTTTTTATACCTATTATTACAAAAAGTGTGCTGTAAATTATGATGTTTTACTGAATATTCCAAACAATGGCCTAAAGTTTGTTTTATTAATGATTGTTCATAATCCATAAAAATCACTTATCATTATAGATTTTCATTATACTTTGGTGGATAATGGACATCCTTTGACATTTTTCCAAAGTAGTCTAAATAACTAAAAGCTAGTCTAAAAATTTAAATGTATTTAGGTACCTACTATTGTCTATTGGAGCTGTTCTCAACCTTTTTATATTCGAGTACCAACTACACGCAGTTTGAACATTTGTAAGTACCACCAGACCCTCCTGCTTATTAATATTGTACACGTTTATTTTACATGTATATAATTTTATTTTATTAGGAATTACAATATGGTGACAATGTACATATTATGTACAATTATTATTATGGTTTAATGACACGGTTGGTGTTGTTTTGAACGGATGATGACGTCAATATAGGGCTCCCTTCATATTCGTAACTTTAAGACTTAAATCACTTTCTACGTTTAATCTATTTCAATGTATTTTATCTTTTGTGTACAATAAGTGAGAAAATGTATTTTCGCACAGCCCGCACAGGTATGTTGATACAAAAGTGTAATAACGCAAAAATTAGAATAAAAAGTATAAAATACTATGGAGAAATCACCGCAAATATTAATACGACACCTGCCAATACTAATATTTAAGATGGTCTAAATTTACGTTACTACCTTCCTCCTGATCGTCTTAGGGTTCTCGAGGTCGTGTATTCGAGAATTTGATCAAATACACTCTGATATAAATGTAAATGCATGCACATATAATTTAATATAATGCAGTCAACAATACTATATTCTATATTTTAATATATCTTACCTGACTCGCAGTTGTCACTGGGTTGGCAGTAGGAGTTTTAGGTGACACAAATTAATTATTTAAGATACTCGAAAAAATAAAGAAACACACTGATTATTCCTCGTAAAAAGGAGTCCAGTTGTCGCTCGTAGAATTCGGTATAGAGAGGTTGTCAATCTGTTTTCGCGTTGCGCCTGCACTCGTGAGAGATTGTTGGATTGTGGAGAGGTGCTCATGCACTGATGAGAGGCGACGACGCTGTCAAGCCAGCCAGATTCGCAGGCGGTCCCATCAAAGGCCTCCGTGTTTCTAAAGATTTACCGTTATCCTTAGTGATAGAGACCCTGATTGGACCATCCCTTGTATCCGGCTTCGTAAGAAACAGATCACACAAGTGGCGACAGATGGTCACAACTATGAGTGAGTTTCTAC